TCACAATTAGACTCACAAACTTCAGGTGGTTATAAAGAACACCAAAATAAGCCAATTTTGTCAATAAATCCGTGTTCGTAAATGAGCCATTTTGGCACTAGAAAATCAAAGATTGACAAGAGCAAAAATCTTTAAAAAAAATTATATTTTCAAAATTTTATTAATGTGGTTAAATAGAGGTGTTTTTACCATGAAACTTTTGTATACAAAATTTTTTGATATCTCAAATAATTTTCGAGATATATCGAAAAAATTATTCGAGATATTAAAAAATTAAAAGTAAAAAGCCGCTCTATATATGAAGGTTCACTCCTTAGAATCGTTTTTGGGCCTCAACTGGAAATTTCTAAATTCATCTATTTACCACTCTATATGTGTATAAAGTTTCATAAATATCAGAAATTTCGGGTTCACGAGGTTCCCTTGTTACTCTTTGGTTCTCTAGTGCCAAACATAGATTTATTGGCAAAATTGGCTTGTTTTGGTGTCCTTTATAACCACCTGAAGTTTGTCGGTCTAATTTTGGGACACCCTATATATCTCATACAATGTAATGCAGATAAGAGAGACAAGACTTTAGAATTCATTTTGAAGAACATGTGTGTATAGTGAATAGATTGTCTTTGATTATATAACACGAAAATTATGATCAAGAGATATCGCGATAAAAATTAATGGTACAAAAATTGTCGGAGCGAAAAGATCTCGAAGCAAAGCGATGACAAATTTGTCACTCGCGAGAAGAAAGAAAGAAAAAAGAAAAATTCTACGATACAAACATTCCGTAGAATTATAATTTCACAAATTCCTCGCAAACTAAGTTTGCGAATGAAAGTCGACGCGGACGAATCCGCGTTACACTTTACGGGAAAGAGAGGGGTAAAGAGTGAGAAGCCCGTAGGGAGTTAGATTTTACAAGATTCCATTTACATAATTCTCCGAAATGTGTTAGCGTTGCCCGTTTCCCATCCATTTTCAAATACGGCCTAACAAGTAACAATATCTCGTTATCCGACACGATGTCTCTCCACCTCTTTCCTTTCCCATCCCCTACCATCGATGGGGATATTTGTTGTCCCGAATTGTACAGAACCCACCGATACAAAGGGACGATAGATTCGCTGCGTGATCTCTCCTGTTGAATGGTCGCTGGAGCTTGGAAAATATACGCAGTGTTTCGTATAAGGTTTGCATCTTGAGTTTCAGAAATGTATTTTCGTATAAATTTAGAAAACGACTAATAAGAATTGAATGTCATTTTATTGTCAAACTTTGCATGTCGATATAATGACAATATAAATGTCAATTAATATTCTTTAGATTTCATTACTTTTAATCTGTTTACATATACATATGTATAAAGTAAAACTTTTTCAATGAAGCAAACCTAAAAACTAGTAAGATATATTTTTACACTTATACATATAATTAAAAAATGTTTTAAATTTATTATTAGAACGAATTTTTGTGTGTGACTAACATGACATAATCTACACATAAGAGATTTATTTATTAAGGACATTGTAAAAGTTACAAAAAAATCTTTTTATATAAAAATAAAATGTACTCAAAAAATGTCCATGAAGTAGAGGAGGAAGTTTTTTTTTGTGAGAAAGTATGTTATATGAGAAGAAAAAAAGATAAATTGTATAGAGATTATTTTTTCGTTATATTTTTGCACAGGTCAACCTCTACTCGGTGAGTTTGCCGAGGGGAATATGTTCTTGATGCGAACCTTATGGGACTACCCTGTACAGGTGGTCGATGCATGTTGGGTCGGCAGGCTAACTGCTAGCTTACCTGACCGCGTTACAAGCGCGCGCCTACTCCGCTTGACTCAACGTTGAATGCCAGTTGAATGCGAAAGAAACGGGTCGGCCGACAAAAGGAAAAAAGTCATCGTCGTGTGACGAGTTGGTGTCTGGAGTCGGCGTCGGACAGTCTATCTCTGCATTGTTGGACTGTGTCATTGTGACGAATTGACGGAGAGATGGTGGGACATTTGCCCCATTTAAAGAGATGAAAATTATGAAAAGATGCGTGAGAATTCATTAATTTCTTTTCTGTATAACTCTAACGAGTAAAAAGAAAGAAAAAAAAACAAGTAACAAAATCGTAATAAAAAATGGACAATTTTTCTGATTAATTTGATATTCTATCTGATTGATTGCTGTTGTTTAATTATGCATGTTATCGGCATGCTGTTTAACTATATATTAATATATTTAAAAAATTTGTAATTATATAATTATTACATAGATCCGAAGTCTCTCTCTCTTTCTCTCTCTCTCCCCTCTCCCCCTCCCCCTCTCTAAAACTCTCTAATATAACTATGTGTGCGTGTATATATTTGTCTACATACAAAATATTTTTTCTTCCCGCAAATGGACAATTAAATAAATTTTACATACCGTAGAGAAATATGTAAGCGATTCGTAATACAGGAGGTTCCGTTAGACAGACAGGTTCGCGAAGGTAGGGCAGGCAGGTACGGGTGGTGACGGAACAAGCGCGGGGCAACAACTCGACGAGGGGGTAAATATGCGACAACTTAGCGTCCGCGTATAAATCTAGCAACGCTCACGGTGACAGGTCACGCAGCGCGGAACCTTCCAGTTTAGATTGCTGCTCGTTCGCCCACCTCTATAGGCGCCGCGACGAGGACGAGGCTAGGTTACTCTGACGAAGGACCGGGAAGAAGAGGAAGGAAGAGGGTGTATGTGCATTGCGGGAATTTTTTATAGTCTCTCTCTCTCTCTCTCTCTCTCTCTATCGGAATTCATTTGCTTATTTTGTGTGAAAATGCATATTGATGTAAATAAGTAGGTCAGATAAATCAAATTTATAATAGTCTATAATAGTATAATAGTATAATATCTATAATAATATAATAGTGTGTGTGTGTAGAACATTAATAAATCTGTAAAAGAGAAATGTATGAATCTTTTTTTCTTTAGTGTGCTGCAATTAAAAATATTTTATAATGTTTCGTATAAAAATAAATTGCAAATAATATATATGTGATAATATTAATAAGCATCCGAGAAATACCAAATTTGGAGAGAGAGGTAGAACTGTTCTATTTTATCTCGTTTATTTTTAATTTCGAAATAGAAAAGCGCGGTTTTTCATTTTCAAGCGTTGTACGAAAGTCATCGGAATAGAAAAGTTTTTACTTAGCATGTTAAGGATGTATGTGTCATATATCAAAATATTGACAAAAGTATGAAAATTTCGTAGACTGTTCTACTATTTCTTTTGAGTATCTGTGCAAAACCTGAGCACACACAATTCTCTTCATGGAAATTTAGAAATTGGAAATTGAAATTGAAAAATTTGGAAATTATTTAACTTTAAAGTTTGTATTGATTCTTATGGAAAATTCCGTATTGTGTAGCACTTATTGACAAATTTGACAAGGAAAAAACATTACCAGCAAAAAAAAATTTTCACATATATTAAGGATACTCTAATAAATATTTGTACAAAACTTGATCTAGATGCACTTACTCGTTTAAAAGTTATTTACGAAAAATTAAGAAAAATACTTGCTGTAATCCGAAATCTTTCTGCAAATTACTTATTTTCTTTTGTTTCTTGTAATTGATTTAGGAAATATTCACGATCAAAAGTTTTTGTCATAAATTAGGAAAAATATTAATTGCAACAACTTTTTTTATGGAGATGTTAAAAGGCATATTATTTTTGATACTTTAATTCTTTTTATAATCCGGATTTATTTATTTAATTTTTCATTAGTATAAAGATAAGAAATATGTTTTTTTTTTAATTTTGATAATATTTTGCTACAGCCAAAACATCCTTAAGTCGACCGAGTTATAAAATAAAAGCTCTCAGCATGACGTAGTAAGAACGAAGAACGTGTAAAAAAAGAATGACGTATATAATTCACGGTACGAAACATATCTATGTTGCAACAAACTACATGTTATACTAATAATCAACATTTTTTTTCCAATTCTTATTTCCTGGCAAAAACACGTGCCACACGTAGTTGGTTCGCCATTCTCACTTATAATTGGCCCTACTCCTGTGTGCGCGGTTCTTATCCAAACCAGGTTTGCCCGACTGATTAATTGTAAAGAGTCATCGACGATGGCCGCGTACGAGCGAGCAAACGAAGACGTACGAGCGGTACGCTTTTCGTGTTGCGTGGGCGGATGTCGAGCGTTCGCCGGGTAGGAAGGGTTGAGAGCGAGTTCTCCCGCGATAAGGGCGAAGAGTCGGCCGCGCGCGCGATCGACGTCGGGGATAAGGGTAGACAATAATCTTTTAATAGAATTGAAGAAACGAAAGGACGAGCGCGCGGCTTCCAGCGGGTACGAATACCTAAGCTACTAGCCGATGCTGACACCGACACCGAAGGACGGCGAAGCGTGCAGATAACAGATCGCGTGTAGACACGTGGTGTACGCGCTCCGTCCCTCTTGGGGTAGCTCCGTAACAGTGTGTCGTAGTAGTTCGTAGCGGTATATCGTTAGAGGAACGAGCGAGAGAAAGAGTGAAAGGGAGAAAAGATGGTCAAATCGCCCTCAAAGAAGAGAAAATTTATTATGGGAAAAAAGGGGGAAGGAGGGAGAGAGAAAGAAACGAGGCCGTGACGATGGTGATGGTAGTTTTGCGCGAAATTACTGGGTTCGCCGGTACACGTTTAAGCAGGCGCGGGTGCGCGAAGCGGGGGAGGGAGGGTAGAAGAAGGATGCAACTTGACGTGTACGGAGGCGGAAAGAATGGGAAAGAG